AGAACAAAAACAGGGGGGGACAAGCCTAAAGCCCATAAAGGGTTGTTGGAAGGCAAAAGGCGTAAAAATCCATATACGAAAAACACAATGCTAGCTCATGAAACATATTCAACCACGAGACAGACGAAGCCTTACTGCTTACTCTTGCAAGCAACGGAAAGTTCTAGGTTTCTTTACAAATCACTAGTTCTTGAACTCAGGTACATAAAATTTTCTATTGTCAATTATCCTACAATAGTAGTAGGTAAGAATTGAATTGTTAATTTTCTTCTTTCTCTGTACCAACAGTAAGTTCCATATTTAAGTGTGAAACTTAGAAATTAATTATAATACATTGGTTATTGTAGAATCGATTGTTTGACCGGTATAAATTGGACTGGAGCCTATGTATTGGCTCGATGAGTTTTGAGGTAAGTTGATATAACCCTTTACTAAAGTGATTTAACTCATAAAAGTATACATACAAGGTATTTGATGAATTGCTTAAAATAGTTAATATACACTTAATTGGAGTGAGTGAGTACCTATTAACTTATAATTATTCTAGCTAAAGTTTAGATGATTTATTCTGATATATGTACATAAATTTTCGAACTTTTGTGTTATTCTTACATGCCATTTTCATGTTGAAAATTCATGAAGAAGCAAGAATCTTTAGAGTATGTATAGGTTGTTCCAGAAATGATTTAGACTTGAATGGTGAAAAAAGTTGAGAAGTTGATTTAGATCCTAGCGAGGTCACACAGAATAATTTATTATTAAATTATTTTTGGGTGTATCCTCTATTCTGAGGAGGGGTCATCATCCAGGACGAGGGTCCTGATCAAGGCCTTAACTTCCTGAAACTACTTGTGCCAAATTAGGAGGCACACGAGCTGAGGGTATTGTTGCTAAAAATTTACCTAGTCGGGCTAAGTCATGATACATGAGCTCTGAGAACCATGAAGCGAGTGGAACCTTGTGGATTGAGCCTATTCGATCAGGGTGGCATCACACCCATGCCGATCACACGGTGACTAAGACATAAATAAGTCAGGATAATTGGAACTCCCGAAGCATAAAATAAAGTATTTCTTTTAGATAAGAAAGAAAAAGAGAAGAATTTCTTTTAGAATATTCATAAATTGTTGTTATGCAATTATTTTAGAATTGTTCGTAGAATATTTATGCTTTCCATGCATTTAGAATCTTTGCTTATAATGTATATTTTATTAAAGTTCCATTCCCTATCGTTGAGACTCACTGAGTACAATGGATGGTACTGACGTTCTCTTTTGGGAACCTATGCTGGTCTGCGATACAACGTAGGAACTGGTTTTTAGGCGAGCAGGCTATAGGTTAGGACTTCCCTCACTTCCAGTACTATTGGTAAGCTCCACTTTTATTCGTGGAGTATTCCTTAGAGTCTCCATTATTTAGATGTTTCTTTGTTTACTTGGAGAACTAGCCAGAAAATCTCATGTCCTGAGTAGTACATCAGTTTATTAGTAGAGGCTTCATAGACACAATCGGTAGGCTAAGATTCAGGTGTTTTTTATAATAACTTTGTAGTATATCAGTAGTTACTACGAATAAAGTTTTGGAGTTGGTTTATTTTAGATATTCAGATTAATTAAAAGTATTTGATTAAAGTATTGCCTTGTTACATATAAAGTTTGAAGTTATATTAGTTTTGATAAGAGCATATGCTTTGCTCGGTCAAATTTAGAGATCGGGTGCCGGTCACGACTTGTTCCGAAAATGGGTCGTGATAGCCTCATTGTTTGCTTCTTCGTTTGATCAGGAAAATCGTAAAGTCGGCTCCCCTACTTCCACCGGTATCGGAGCTTCCTTACCATATAAAAAGGAGAAAGGTGTTTCTTCCGTGCTTGGTTTCGCCATTGTTCGGTATGCCTATAGCACATCCGGTAACTCTTCGGGCCACTTGCCTTTAGCAGCTTCTAACCTCTTTTTGAAGTTTTGGATGATCACCTTATTAGTTGACTCCGCCTGTCCATTAATGCTTGGGTGGTACGGTGAGGATGTATACCTCTTGATTTTCAAATTTTATCAGAAATTTTGTGACTTTCGAGCCTATGAACTACGGTCCATTGTCGGAGCCAATCTCATTCAGTATTTTGAATCGACAGATTATGTGGTCCTAGAGGAAGTTGACCACTTTGCGCTCACTGATCTTTTGGTAAGGACCTACTTTAACCCATTTAGTAAAGTAGCCAGTTAAAATTAAAAGGAATCTTACCTTTCCAAGGCTCGGTGTCAATGGATCAACTATATTCGTCCCCCATTTCATGAATGGTCATGGGTACAGTACCGATTGCAAGAGCTCAGCCGGTTGGTGCACCAACTGTGCATAGCATTGAAATTTGTCGCATTAGTGTCCTGCTCCATCCCGGGCCAATAGTATCCTGCTCTCACCAACTTTACTACCAAAGAATCTGCACCTGAACAATTCTCACAAATTCTTTCATGGACTTATATCATCACGTACTCTGCCTCCGAGGCTCCCATACATCGTGCCAATGGACCATGGTACGATCTTCTATATAATTGCCCATCCATGAGGCAATAACGAGTCGGTTTGGTGCGTAGTGCCCGCGACGCCTTCGGGTCTTCGGGCAATTTGCCATGACAAATATATTCGATTAACGTATTCCTCTAGTCCCAGACTAGGTTGGTTGAATTAACTTCACAATAACCATCCACATCCAGTACATAATGTAGAATTTGAACAACAATACAGAAGTCAGATCCATTCATCTCTGTAGATGACCCCAAATTAGCCAATGCATCTGCTTCCACATTCTCTTCTCTCGGAATGCGTATGATTGACCATTCCCTAAATCGTGCAAGAAATGTTTGAACCTTGTTCACATACTGTTGCGTGCGTTCCTCCTTTGTATAAAAAAATCCAGTATACTTGGTTTACTACTAGCTAGGAATCAAATTTGATCTCGATGACCTCGGAACCAAGTCCTCGGACCAGTTCAAGTCCTGCAACCAAAGCCTCATACTCGGTTTCATTGTTAGCTAACGGAACAGTCTTAATGGGCTACCTCAGGGTTTCTCCCGAGGGTGTGACTAAAACTATCCCAAGGCCAGACCCTTTTACATTGGAAGCTCCATCCGTAAACAAGGTCCAAACTCTTGATGTTGATTCTGACACTAGTACTGCCTCTTTAGTAGCTACGGGCATTAATCCGGAACTAAAATCGGCCATAAAGTTGGCCAAAACATGTGACTTGATCGTAGTCCTGGGCTTGTACTCAATGTAGAATTCACTAATTTTGACTGCACATTTAGCCAACCGACTTGACAACTCAGGCTTGTGAAGAGCATTCCTCAAGGGGAAGGTTGTCACAACGGCTATCGAGTGGCACTGAAAATAAGGTCTAAGCTTTTGAGATGTGACTACGAGAGCTAAGGCTAATGTTTCGAGGTGTGGATAGCGGGTCTCCGCTCCTGACAATATTTTACTAACATAATAGACAGGAAACTGCATACATTTTTCTTCTCGGACTAAAACGACACTTACTGCTACTTCCAAGACTACTAGATATATTAGCAAATGCTCGCTTTCCCCCGGTTTTGACATTAACGGGGGGCTGGATGGGTACCTCTTTAAATCCTTCAGTGCCTGCTGGAATTAGGGAGTCCATTCGAAATAGTTCTTCTTTTTCAGAAGTGAAAAGAAATGATGGTACTTCTCAGAAGATCTGGAGATGAACCTCCTTTAGGCTACTAACTTTCCGGTTAATCTTTGTACCTCCTTTACATTTTTCAATTGATCCAGAATTTCCTCGATAGTTTTGATTTTATCGGGATTTACCTCGATACCTCTTGGCGAGACCCAGAATCCCAAGAATTTTCCGAAACCAACCCTGAAGGCATATTTTTCCGGGTTGAGTTTCATGTAATGCTTCCTCAAGATATTGAAGGTTTCTTGGAGGTGTTTCAAGTGATCTCCTACAATCAAAGACTTGACTAATATGTAGTCAATGTATACATCCATTGTTTTGCCTATTTGATTTTCGAACATTTTTTTCCTCATCCTCCGGGTTCATCTTGATTTGATTATACCCGGAGTAAGAATCAAGGAAACTCATCAACTCGAGCCCAGTTGTAGCATCAACTATTTGATCAATATTCGGTAATGGGAAAGAGTATTTAGGGCATGCCTTATTTATGTCCATATACTCTACGACATTCTAAACTTGTTATTCTTCTTTGGAACTACAGCTACATTAGCTAACCATTCTGGATATTTTACCTCCCAGATTTAACCGATGTCGAGTAGTCGAGTTACCTCTTTTTTAACAAACTTGTTTCTTACCTCGGCTATTGGGCGTTTCTTTTGCCTTTTTAGTTGGAAGTTTTGATCCAAGCTTAGCTTGTGCATGGCCACTTCTAATGGGATACCTGTCATATACGAGTGCGACTATGCATAGCAATCAATGTTAACTTTAAGGAAATTAATAAATCCTGACCTAAGTTCTGGATTGAGTCTTGTTCCCAAGTGAAACTTCCCTACAATAATTGTTTGAATAAAGCCACTTGCTCAAGTTCTTCAGAAGTAGACTTGGTTGTATCTGTCTTCTCCAGCACTTGAAAATATCTCGGCACCTGGTGGGATTTCGATGACTCCTCACCTTTATCATCTTCATTTGGCAAAGGAGAAGGCGTCGATTCCTGTAATTGCTATTTGCTGGGCTCCTTCCCTTTGCTACTGGAAATCGACAGTGCATTCATCTCTCTTGCTATCGGTTGATCTCCTCTTATCTGCTTGATTCCTTTCGGGGTGGAAAATTTTAATAGTTGATGATATGTTGAGGGCACATCCTTCATCTCATGTATCCATGGCCATCTGGGGATTATGTTGTAACCCATGCATCCATCTACCAAGTTGTGACCCATCGGGTTGTCATACTTGCCAAGTTGAACCCAGCGATGAGCTTTGTTGCCAGAATGATGCTTCCGGTTAACTTTGCTTGTTCCAGTCCCATTCATTGAATGTTTTTTCTAGAGCTTCCTAGGTCAATGAAAACACGCTTAATTTTTAAATCTAAGACATTGAGAGAAATTACTAGAGCGTCATTGTGTGGCAGAAGAAGTTCGTCGGCATCTTCCTCCATGAAGGTGATGTCATCTTTTGCGACTCCCTGGAGTCTCTTGTTGTGGGTCACTGATATCCTTGTTTTCTTGGCAACTGAGAAGGTTACGCCATTAATTTTATTCCCTCTGAAAATCATGTTGATAGTCAACCAAGGGTAGTCATTTTCTATCTTCAAAGGCTCTGCATTGTCCCGGCTACGGCCGAAATTATTCTTGGCTCGGTCACTCAAGAACTCCCTGAGATGGCCATTCTTCAACAACGTTGCCACCTCTTCACGCAGATGTCGGAAGTCCCCAGTTTTGTGGTCGTGAGTCCCATGATATTCACACCATAAATTAGGATCTCTCTGGCTGGGATCGGATCTGATTGGCTTCAGGAATCTTGCTTCTTTGATATTCCTTATCACTGATACCAACTCCACTATGCTGATGTTGAAGTAGTAATCCGATAACCTGAGATATGTGGAATTCTGGGCTCCCAATACCTCTTTTTCTTGTAATGACCTATTGTTCCGGCCATGGTCGGTTCTTCTATCGACACCGAACCTTTCTGAGGACCAGAACCCTTTGTTGCCGCATCCTTCGATTCTCTCGTATGGTAGGAAATGACCATTAGAAGATCATCGATCCTCATCGAAATCGCTTTTTAACTTATCCTTAGCAGATCGTCTTCTATCCTTATTTTTGATTCATAATGGTTATGTACATTCGCCCATGTGGTCGCTTGGAATTTGAGCGGGCTTTCTTTCAGCTTTCGGGAGGCGTCGAAGTTTCTCGGATTTAGACCTTTTATGAACGCCTCTATTTCCCACTCATCTGGTACAACTGGTAGCATCATACTCTCTTTTTGGAATCTGATCACGAAATCCCCCAGAAATTCGGACTCACCTTGCGCGATTGTAAATATGTCCTTCCTGTCTTGAACCTTTCTTGTCTCGGCATGGGCCTTAACAGATGAATTTGTAGGCATTTCAAAAGAGTCAATTGAATGCTCGGGTAAGAGGGAATACCATGTCAGGTCCCCCTTTGTGAAGGATTCACCAAACTTCTTCAGTAGGACCGATTCGATATCATGTTGAGCCAAATCATTCCATTTCACAACCGTGGTATAAATTGTGATGTGCTCCTGCGGATCCAAAGTCCCATCGTATTTTGGTATATCCGACATCTTGAACCTCTTCGGAATTAACTCTGGCGCTGCGCTCGACTTAAATGGTAATTGCGTGTATTTCTTCGAATCTGGGCCTTTCAAAACTGGTGGTGCGCCCAGAATCTGATCCATTCGGGTGTGAAACTCCTTTGTATTTCGATCCATCTGTTTGTTCATTTCCCTCATAAATCTCATGAGCTCAGTTTTGAAGGGGTCATTCCTGTTATCGTTACAAGATATTCTACCAGTCCCTCCGGCACCTTCAAAACCGACCTCACCCCTTATGGTGTTGTTATTAACTCTTTGAGCCATTTGATTTGCAGGAACACCAGGAGGAACCAGGTCCCTTCCGTTTGCATTGTTGGAAGTGCCTGGCAATGCTTGTTTTAACTCCATCATTACCCTATCCTGCCTTGAAAGGTGGCTCATGATGGCTTTCTACTGCTCCCTCAAAAGCTTCACTGTCTCCATGACATTCCTCCTCCGCATCATTGGGAGTTTTCTCCCGCACATGCCGGGGTTACTGCTCTTCACGAACTAGGGTTGCTTCGTCCCCTTCGTTACGGGTGTCGCTGATTGAATCTTTATGTTGAGGCAAGTTTTTGTGTCCCTCAATGTTCTGCATGATGTTGACATCATTAGCAGACATTATTGATTTCTTGCTAAGGAAAAAAATCAAACAAGTTAGTAATAAATGGAATGATCAAAGCAATTACACAATTGTCTAAGCCCCGCGGTAGGCGCCAAATTGTTTACCCGTAAAATGGTACAGTTAAATTTGTTACATGGTTTATAGACAAGCGAACTGATTTGATCCCAAAAATAATAATGAAATAAGATTAAAAGTAAGACTTAGGAATTGAAATTGAAGAATGTGACAAGCCTGGCTCCGAGAGCAGTATTTCCGAGGACATAAATGAGAGCAATGTAAAAGAGAAAATAAAGTTGTTAGATTGAGAGCAAAAATGAAATACAACATATATTTTTCCAAGAATTTCCTGTTTTCCAATGGCTGTTGAGCATGTTATTTATAGCTCTACCTAGGGAGACAAGATCCTCGGATCAAGCCTCACTTAAATAATAATAAAGGAGTCATTGATGAATATGTAACGGTAGGCCATGAATGCAAATATTCTTTGCAATGGTTGTTCATTTAATGTTAGAGAACATTCTTCATTGAATGTTATCCGGTGACAAATATTTGATATGTTCCCGTTGACCATGCTCCCTCCGGGGTTTAGCCGATGTCAATTGCAACTATTGTTTCCCGTATTGGTTGTTACTTGATTCACCTTTTACCTTTCTTCGGTTCCATGTATCATGCTATCTGTTTACCCTTAAAATTAGATAACAATTAAACTTATAATGAGGTTCTAAGGATATGCAATTTCACTTAATACCGATAGAAAAATATGAAGATTAATAACAGAAATAAACTATAAAATAAAGCGAACCAGTATTGAAACGGAATTCAACCCTCGAGCTAGGGTGCCCTCGAACTGATCGATACCAAAATAGTTAAAAATAAAGCAAGCTGATAAACAAAAGAGTATAATCTAAAGAGAGAGCATTATATTGGCTTTTTTACGTGAGAACAATGTGTCTTATAAATGGTTAATACTCCTCTTTATATAGTAGAGGAGTTCTACTTATGGTATAACTCTAATTACAGAAGGAAATCCCATGATTAGCTAATTAACCATTTCTGATTTGATCCGTTCCGAGATTTACGCCATGATCCTCGACCAGTAACCGAGGTTTACGCCGTGATCCTTGACCAGCCACAGATATCTCACCTTTATGTTATTGTGCTATCTTTGATCTTGCTCGATGTATGTCTTGTTTGGCTTCAATCGCTACTAGCCTCGATCTCGATAGGTACCTCGGTCCTGAACTTGGTACCTAGTCCTCATGATTTAGTCTGTTCCTTTACGAGGCCATCCTTCGATGCAATCTCCCGGTCTTGGTCAAATAGTAAAATCGGGTGGGCCCAGTTTTAACCGTATACAAATAGTCCCCTCGTTGTTTTGGAATATAATGACAAGAAATGAATTGAGCCTTCGATTTTTCTACCTCGACCTGTCATGACATCATCCTTGTGATGTAAGCGACGAAAGTGACCGAAACGTCCCGTATGTATAGTTACCAAGGCATTAAATGCACGTCAGTCGATGGTCGGCCACTGCCAATTTTGAACCGTCGTTGTGAAATCTATAAGTAGCTCCTTCCTTCACCATTTCAAACTTTTACTTTCAAATTTCCAATCTCCAAAGCTTTTTACATCTTCTAAGTTCTTCATCTGTAAATCTACGATTCTCACTGCTAACCTCTTCTTAGAAAACCAAATCTTATCATCTCTATCTATTTTTAACTTCAAATTCAAATGGCGAAAACGTCAAAATTTGTGAAATCTTAAGGAAAACGCTTCTTCATCGCGGCTGGCAAGCGAAAAAACATCGGTGGAGCCGCGCCCTGTAGAGTGTGTTCCCACGGGGTGTGTTCCCACTTCTGACTTTAAAACTTGATAAAGCCTCGTCGATTCCTAGTCGAAGTGAGCCAGTGTCGAGGTATATATGCTCGATAACCGAACGATGCCTTAAGCAGGTAAAGAAAGACTACAACTGGGAGGGCAAAGAGGTGGTGATCCCGACCCCTGAAGAGGATATCAACACCCATGTGGGAGGGTTTCTAAGTGTTTAAACTTACCCTTTCACGCTGGCCCCCTCGATCCCGTCGTCGTTGATTTTTGCCTTCAATACCAAATAACCCTAGGATAAATCCATGCTTCCTTTTGGCAAATTATTATTCTTCTCCGATTCTTCGTAAGCAAAGTCGAGGGGATTCCTTTCACCCTCGACCACCTCATCAAGTTATACAACCCCCGCCTCTATCGAGGCAGGTTAATAAAACTCTAACGTCAGGCTACCAAAGTGCTGTTCTCGAGCATAGACGAGGACAAAGACTGAGGCTGGATGGGTCTGTTAGTTTGAGTGAGGACTTCCGACCTAATCCCGGTCGCGAAGATGCCATTTCCTGAGAAATGGAATATGAATCGTAAGTACAATCCTTTAGATCCTATTTATTGTTTTGCTCATTTGCTTCTTCTCATTAATATCATTTTCAGTGATATAGCGGTCGCTTGGATTCCCGGTGCAATCCCTAACCTCAAGAGTTGGTCTCAGGACCTGGCCTCGACCTCTACGTATGCCAAGCGCTCATGGTGCGATTAATCAAAGGGCCGATGATAGGCCAAAACTCATAGTAAGCTAATTTTCCATGTCTTCGATGATTTTGTTAAAGCGTCTCTTAATTTCTTTTCATACAGGCCTTGGCAAAGATGATGTCATGAGGCCCTTATCTGGTGAGGAGGAGACTTCGATACCGGTACCAAAACTGGCTAAGAACAAAAAGAGGAAAAATATCTCAACCTCTGAGGATCCAGAACCTAAGAAGAAGAAGGCTCGTAAGCCGAGGAAAAACATCATCCTCCTGACCGAAGACTCTGTTCGGCGTCTAAGGGGTGAAGATGAAGATGAGGAAGAAGATGACTCCGGGCTAGTGGCCCGAGTGGGAATGAGCACTGAGGCCCCAAAAGCCAGTGAATCGGTCAAGACTGCAGAGACTCTGTCTCGAGATGAGGGGGTCTCGCGAAGAGACTTGGGCGAAGCCCCTGAGTCATCGAGGATTGAAGATGCCTCCAATCATAATGAGCCAACTGTGGGTACGGCTATAGGGGCTGGTCTTGAGTCCCCTCGAGATGGAGAGAATGCCCCGAGTGATCCACTTGAGGCAATAAAAATTGGAGGCTCCCTGCTGCTCCCCTCATTTTCCGAGGAGATGATTCAAGAGGCTCGGGCCTTGAAGACCCTCTCTATCGAGGGAGCCCACAAAAGGGAATATCCCTTCCATGATTACTTTACTGGGGTGGAAGATTCTACCAGCCTGAGTGACTTGGAGGTCTCGAGGAAGGACTCGGGTGAGGCATTGAGCCTTTTGAACGAAGCGTAGCAAGCTCTGAATCGGGTAAGCCTTAACTCCCCTTGTTGGTGTTATACTTGTGTTCATTTTTATCTTCATGTCTAACAATTTTTCTTCTTTCTGCGTAGGCTTCAGCGCTTCATCGGGAAGCATTTTCTCGGTATCGAGCTGAGCTGAGTCGATATGAGGCCGACCTCCGAGGGCTCACGGAGGAGAGAAATTCCCTTAGACTTCTCTGTGGGCAAAAAAAGAGAAAACCAAGGACCTCCTAGTCGAGTTGGCCAAGGCTCACCAAGATTAGGCCGATCTGATCGAGCAGGTAATGAAAATCTTAAAAGCTCATGGGCTCAATTCGGGAATGGTGGGTAATATTTCAATCTCACAGATGCAGCAGAAGGTCGAGAGGATCGAGCAGCTCCGCGAGGAAGTCAATATGATGAAGGCGTAGACCTTGGAGTGAAAATAAGGCATGGACCGCTTCGCTGCAGAAAAAGAGACTGTTTTATCCCAATTGTCATCGGCCAAAAGTCAGTTTCGAGGCATGAAGGAGAAGAGATCGGCTCAGGAAACGAAAATAGGGGAGCTCGAAGCTCGGTTGGCTTCCGAACTTGCAAAGGCCAAATCTGAAGCTAAAAAGGATAAAGCTGAGGCAGATACATCATGGCCGTCTATCAGACTGATGCTGAAGCCGCTCAAGTCCAGGCAAAAGAGGCAGCCGAGACCTCTCAAATTCGAGCATATTGGATTACTGAACTCACCAAATGCCAATCTCGGAGGGAAAACCTCGAGGAGATCCACGCTCGAGGTTTCGATATTACCAATGAGATAATAAAGGCTAGAGAGCATGAAGTCGATGCTGGAGTGCTGGACTCCTCCGATGATGATGATGACACCGAGAGCAAGAGCGGGTCTGAGAGCGGGGGAGACCTCGATGAAGAAGAAGCTGCCCCCGGAGAAAGTTAGGAACCTTAGGATTTTTTACTTTTGATTTTTTGTGCAGGATACTAATCGGACCTTGTAAATATTCTCATATATATAAAGATCTCTTTCCGACTTGTATTTATTTCATTTTTTGCCTTGTGAAAATTTGGTTCATTCATGCCTTATGAAAATTTTGTTCATAAGTTCGAGGCTTAAGCAATTTGATCGAAGTTGGACTAGTGTAGTTTTTATAATTGAGTGAGTACTTGCTCGAACTCGGAGTAACCCTTAGGTTTTAATTGAGTGAGGATGATTTCTCGAACTCAAAAATAAAATGGCCCTTTAGGCTCTTGAATTAGGCCGATACGGGCATAGTAAAAAGAATGGCTTTCTCCTCCTTTTCTGCTTGAAAATTTTATTGTTTAATCATATAAAATCTATTGTGCCTTAGCATGAAATAAAGAATTTGTTCGCGAATTCGAACGACTTTGTACCCA